CAGCAGACCAACAGTTAAACCTTGAAGTCTGAAATCCGAATCTACCCTTGTGGCTTTGCTCTTCCCGTTGAGTGGTGTACTCTTGCGGTGTTGCTGATAGAGGATACGTAACTCCAGCAGACCAACAGTTAAACGCGAATGATTGTCGACCCTGTTTTTTTTAATATACAAGAAACGCGTCTTCCCACCTCAAATCCCGTTTCCGAAACGTTTCCCCAACCCGGCCCAAAAGCCCAAGAGCTCAGAAACGTATCCAGAGGTTTCCCAGCCGTTTCCGGGCGTTTCCCGGCGTTTCGCGTTTCCGAAACGTTTCCGGGACGGAAACTGCACCCTGATTGACGTTTCCGTGCTTCCTAGTCGCTGCGTACCCAATCGCGGTACGAAAGCGATCCGGTCGCACCATGGAACGATATCCGATACACTGTGCCAGTCGATGCCAATCGCACATCGCCGCGAACTCAATCGCCGGCTGATACGACTTCATTCGTCTGGAAACGCGATCGGCAAATCGATGCAGGTCGTTCCCACTATGTTTCCCTATCGATCGCTTTTGAAAAAAAATGAATCGTCGTTTAAGATGCACACGTTTGAACATCTGTACACTTAGTTTCAGATGCCTGTAGTAATAGGCGTACGGAATTTCGAACCAGCTCTTCGTTTTCTGATCCTACTTATTCCTACGCATCAATTTTACATTAAATATCTGTACGCTTCATTTTCTGGTCTACATGTTTGTTGAATATTAATGTTTTTGCTTTTGTTTAATGTTATGAAATCATGTTATGAAATCTGTTTTTGTTCAATGTTAAAAATTGAAATCTGTATTCTATAATTCAGTGTTATATTTTTATTATAGTACCAAAATATAAGGTACAATGTACCGAACATATGGTACATCGTACCGAATGCCTACCGAAATGAACCTACCCCCCTCCGAATCGGATACGCTAGATCTAGCAAACCGCGTTCCCGCTCCTCGTTCCCGTATCGAACCGTACCGCGAACCATGTGACTATGGTCTGGTTTCAATTTGTTTTAGTATACCCTAGATTTTTTTTGGGTGGGGAAACTATGATGAATGAACTAAGGAGCTCTGATATTTTTTTATTGTTAACTATCTAAACAGCATATAACCAGTCGTTTGGAATCTTTTTTCTTGAAAGTACTTCCATCCTCTTTGGAGGGTGGAGAGAATATCATTGATTCAGTATATCACAACCTTTAGCAAACATTGTAAACAAGAAGTGTGAATATAATAAATATAATTATAATAAAATGCTCTTCGTACTTGATAATTGTTGAATGGTTAGTTTGTCCTCGATAATGGCAGGTACAATCCGTTACTGTTCATGCAACAAATAATTATTTTGTGACTGCTTCTCTTGACAACACTTGGTGCTTTTATGAGCTTGCTTCAGGTGTATGCCTTGCTCAGGTTATTACTGCTCCATATCTTGCTCTTTCCTGCTGTAATTAGCTGTTGCATCTGGAGTGTTCAAGTTTAATTGTATTTTCTTTGCTGCAGATTGGAGATCCTTCAGAAGGTGATGGCTATACGTCTGCAGCCTTTCATCCTGATGGCCTGATTCTTGGAACTGGCACAACAGGGTCTACTGTGAAGATATGGGATGTAAAGAGTCAGGTGTGCTGTTTAGGTGTTAATTCACTTCCCACAAGCTTAACCATTTTTAGATTTATTTATCACATGTACGTTTTGGATCTTTAGGCAGTAGTTGCACAATTTGATGGCCATGTTGGAGCTGTTAATGCTCTCTCTTTCTCTGAAAACGGTTATTTCTTGGCAGTAAGTATTCTATTGAGTAAATATTTATCATACCAGGAGTCAGTCATAAAGTAATGGAATTGTGGTTAAATTAAGATGATACATACATTTTCTCAGACTGCAGCTAGAGACGGAGTTAAGCTCTGGGATTTACGCAAATTGAGGAATTTCAGGAACTTCTCTCCTTATGATGAAAATACACCAACCCAAACAGGTAATTAAATTCGCTTATTTAATGACATTATGTTGTGTGAAAGACATTGGTCTAGTTACTGTATGTTTAATGTGGATGCTGATGTGCTTACAGTGGAGTTCGACCACAGTGGAAGTTACCTTGCATCAGGAGGCTCAGATATAAGGTTGAGTTTAGTTGCAATTCCCCGTCTTTAAAATTTATTAACATTTTTAGAACTTTGAAACTTGTATTGTAGTAATGAATCACACAAGTCACTGTTTGCCATATCAATATTCATTTTTTGGGAGGGGGTGGGGTGAGAGAGGGGCAGACTTAGCTATATTTATTAGGGGGCATTTGGTCTGCTGGATGTGACTTCTGCTAGACAATACACTAAAGCTAGATGTAACACAACCTTGTTTGGTTCAGGTTATCTGACTACTCCAATAATATGGCCGTTGTAATATTTTGGACTACTCTGAGTTTGTCCTTGACATTTTGTGAATATATTTTCACATTCCACTAACCAAACAACCTAAAAGTAGATTCATTGTATATTCCTGTAACATTACCTTCCCTTAGGCTGTAGTGGGCGCTTGGTTCAGGTCATCAGAGAGTACCTTGGTAATGTTAGGAAGGTCAGAGTTTTATGGTTTTTTGATGTGACTTCTGCTAGACAATACACTAAAGCTTAATGTAACACAACCTTGTTTGGTTCAGGTTATCTGACTACTCCAATAATATGGCCCTTGTAATATTTTGGACTACTCTGAGTTTGTCCTTGACATTTTGTGAATATATTTTCACATTCCACTAACCAAACAACCTAAAAGTAGATTCATTGTATATTCCTGTAACATTACCTTCCCTTAGGCTGTAGTGGGCGCTTGGTTCAGATCATCAGGTAGTTTTTAACTTTTAAGCTTGGAACATCAGAGTTTTATGGTTTTTTGATGATCGTAATTTGATATCATGTTGTTCCAAGCTTAAAAGTTAAAAACTATTGGGGTAATCATATATCACCACCTCATACGAAAATGAGGTAATATTGGGGGTAATCTAATTACCTTGGGTTTCTTAGGTCTTATGAGATAATATTGCTAATGTTATATCCATGTCCTTAAGTCATGTATTATTGGAGTTGCATTATTATTATCCCAACCAAACTCACAAGTTTCTATGTAGAAAGTTATTAGGGCTATAGTAATATGTAGTTGACGATTATTAGGAGTCTAGTATGTGTTTGTAGTTGTCTTTTTTATGCATTATATTTTTTACGTCACTAAATTTTAGATTGTATCAAAGCCAAACTTATCCATAATGAAAATAACGATTTGATGAAAATGATTAGTAATAACACAACACAGACGAATTGTTTGGTCAGACAAATTGTCTGGTTGCGAGGGGCGTTGTACCAGTAAAAGACTAATTAATAAAACTATTATATAAAATATTGGGCTCCTATTAGGTTCACCTTTTAAGATGAAATGTAAATCTTGATGTCCTACTCCATTGTTAATCTTATAATCTAGTTATTTCATACTCCGTAATTACGTTGCTTGAGGTAATTACATCATCTGTGTCAATCTCTAATATTGTGTGAACCAAACACCCTCTGAGGGTAAATGTAACATAACCTTGTTTGTGAAGGTAGTTTCACATTTCATGAACTAGCGGACTTGATGCTTTCACATCATGATCTTATTATTGTCCGTTCATTGTCATTGTTTAGGGTGTATCAAACTGCTAGTGTGAAGTCAGAATGGAACAGCATTAAAACGCTCCCGGACCTGTCAGGAACTGGTATTTTCTTTTTCTTAGACCTCTTTGTTTCTCTACATCCTAAATAGCTAAAACATTAACTTCTTTACAAGATATTTATTTTTCAAATACTAATATCTTATGCACAGGTAAAGCCACATGTCTAAAATTTGGTCCTGATGCGAAATACATAGCTGTTGGATCAATGGATAGAAACCTCAGAATATTTGGTCTGCCCAGTGTGGAAGGTCCAAAGGAAGATGATTAACTCTTATTCTCACGATTCTGCCTTCCAGTTTCATTAGCTTTGTATGACAACATTTCCACCCTGTTTTGTTTTGGTTAAGCAATTGAAATATAAGATTGGTACTGAATAGAATTCTAAGCTTCTGATAAATAGTGCTGGAAGTAAATCTTACTATGATATTTCTGCATGTCATTGTGTTTTTCTCTCGACGATTGTGTTTTGGTCTCACCAAATCCAGTTAAACCATACCATGTACGGAGTATATCTGAAGTCTAAACAGATCGGAAACATTTAGGTCTTGGTTGGGTATTAATATGTTTACGTCATCTGAGATCAAATTGGATGATCATATGAGGATTAAATTAAATTAATACTCAAATCTTCATGGGCCTATTTGTAAGAACTTAGGATTAAATTAAATTAATACTCAAATCTTCATGGGCCTATTTGTAAGAACTTGAGTTCTGTGGGACAATATTTGGTTTAATCACGTGATGAAAAGTCATAAAGTTTCTTTGGTTTAAAGTTTAACTTATAACCTGAAGTCCCATTGTGCTTAGGTTGTTTTTAATTGAACTGAAATTTATCTGATCTGTTAAATGTCTGGTCTCTGTGTATTTTAAAACTATTCAAATTTGGTCTGGGACTGAAAACAGTCTAGAAACATCCTTAGTTCTCAATTATTGGTTTAAGGATTTAAAAAAATAGTACAACCAGGTAAAACTAAAAATCACTTTTCCTGGTTTAGACAACCATATATTTATGCCTAAAAATTTCTTGTGATATACTACTCCGTCCCATAATGGTTGTCCACTTTCAATTTGGCACGATTATTAATAAAGTGGTTGAAAAGTAAAAGTTGTGGTTGAGATTTGAGTATAATAAAGTGAATTGATAAGAACCACATATTTCATCCAAAAAAGGAAACAAGACATTCATTTTAGGACAACCCAAAAAGGAAAGTAGGACAACCAAAATGGGACGGAGGGAGTAACTGACTATTGACTAACCGTCATAGAAAAAGGCCCAAGTGCCCAACTCGCTGTCTGGAATACTAATAAATAGAATCTCGATTATCATTCATATCGAGTCTCAATATATAATCCCAAATTCCCAAGCAAGCAGAATGTCCAAGCTAAAATCACGTAATAAATCAGTAAGCGTAATAAATCAGTCCACAAGAGTAAAACTTCTTTTAATATATCCTAAACATGAAAAAGGCAAATCAAGAGCAGTCTCAACTTCAATAGATCTGCTCATCAGTGTACTCAAAATACTCTCCCTGTTAAAACTACTACTACCTCCTCTGAAACCCCTAGCCACAACAACAGTTGTATTACACACCCAAGGGACTGAAACCACGTATGCCAAGCCATCACAAGATTTCCCATTCCCTAGTAATGCTTCCTTGTAGGCCCTGCACACTTGTTTCACATAACCCCCCATGGGTAAGGAGTGACCATCGGATGATCTGCCGTCATAGTCCACGTCTGAGTGAAGGTTCACGATCACTGTCCCGTGCTCAGGGTGAAGACAGTTACTCAAAGTTTTGAGGAACGGCGAGTGCAGGTCCCACAGCTTGTATGGAAAGATATCATCGCCGTCATAAGCGTCGATGAAAACGATGTCATATTTGAGATGATGGGTGGGGTCAATGATGAACTTTTCAGCGTCAGATTCATATAAACAGATCCTCTCATGTGTTCCTTTCCATAGCATTTTTTGGATTGAGTCATGTGTTGATTGTGTAGGGTTAGTATATGGAGATGTTGCAAGTGAAGGTGATGGGAATCCCATAGCTTGTACTGAAGCTGAGATGACGATAGGGTCAATTTCGACATCATGAACCATCGCCCCTATGATACACAACAATAATAAACTCAATAGTCAATAGTAAAAAAAAGTTATTGAGCCAAAGACTCAACTATTTTTTGGCCTGCGAATATGTTGGAATAAAGCAAAATGGCTCACTAAACTGTCTGCGCTTCTTTGTTAAGAAGCAGCAGCCAACTCATGCAATTTTCGACGCGATTTTCACTATGGGTCATCCGGAAACAGTCTCTCTGTGCTTTAGTCAGGGGTAAGGCTGCGTACATCCGATCCCCTTACCCCACCCTAGGTGGGAGCCTTTGTGGCACTGGGGTAATGATAATGATGATTAAGGCAGACCCCACTGCTCAAGTAAGCAGGACCCACACATCTAAAGGGATGAGATGCATTATGCCTTATGGGCCATGACAGAGGACCGGTTTCCATTGTATCAATAGTCTCACATGCCAGGAAAAAGTAATGAGACAACACATTCTATATGAAAAGTGAAAATAGAGGAGGAGGAGGAGGAGGAGGAGGAGGAGGAAGATGTAAGAACTAAGGAGCTAGGGGCCTGTTTAGTAAGAGTTATTTAGCTATATATGGCTGAACCTGCTTGATTTTCTGAATGGAAAAACGTTTGGTAGAGCTGATTTCTGCCAAATAAGAAAGCCAAAGGCTACTTATCCTGACTGAAAGCCGAATACGGTGATAAAGGCTACCAAACTTAGCCCATGTCATGTCAAGCTTAACAGCAATACATTTCAAATTCATTTACTTGATAACTAACAAATGCAAGTATGCAACGATATCCGGAAAACAGATACAGAAACTCAACTTCTGCTAAAGGTATTTATAGTTTGTTAATAAAGAAATTGCCCTAAATCAGCTGCAAGCAATCAATCCAATCATTATAACATAAAACAGTTAAACTGTATTCAACCTACTATCCTCGGGATAAGAATTACTGCAACAAACCAGATGAAAAATTAAAGGTGCTTTTGCACTTAAAAAGTTTAAGGATATGATTATTTACTTGCAATATCTTGTCCTTGGCATACCTTTAATTTTGCTTGCTAAAAGCAGTGGTATACTTCCTCCACCATGACCAATGCATAAGACATTCATCGTCTTTGTCCCACATATAGCTTTATGAAGATCAAAGTTACAGCATGAGATTGTAGCCAGTCCAGCACAAATCATACTCTTTACATCTACAGGCATCATGAAAATATTAAAGAATCATACAGAGTACTTACAAAGGCTATAACATCCATAATGTACGCAAAAGACACATCAATCAATCTTAGGTATTACTCATGTCTCTTCAGATGCTTGAGATCTCATATGTTTAATACTACGCCCATCCCAATTTAACATGCCAATTTGATTTTACTGGTAAAAGCTTTTGAAATTTGACCAATAATAGACAGTGACTTTTTCAGTCTCTAATGTCTATTTTTTACCTTTTTTTGACACCGTCTATTTTTTACCTTAAAAATTGACATTGTATACAAACAAAAACAACAATAAGTTAAACTTAAAAATATAAACAAAATCAAATCAGTCAAGAATATTTTCATATTACAGAGTAATATAGCTTCATATACTTTATGGTCGATGTCACTGTATTCATACTTTCCGAAAGTCAAGCTATGATGGTAATTTAGGGACAAGGGGAGCATAATTTTAAGAACACTCTTACAAAGGCACATAATATATAACTTATAATGCAAAATCAAATGTGACCTAAAAGGACGGAGTGAGTACCAAACAAGCAAAATGATGCATGAAATTGGTTCTTTTACCTTCACTGCCTGTATCACACAAAACAGTGGATACACATACACAACTCAATTTAACATAGTGACCTTCAAATCCTCAATTTCCATTTAAGAATACGAAAGCTGGAAACAACCTCTCATTTCCATTGGATCACACACTCCTTGCATATTAATATGAAAAAGATGAGTAGCTTTATTGAATATGCAAAATTAGGTTTTGTTATAATTGCTAAAACCTCTCATCCGTAAAAACAATTCAAACATCATACAATATACACACTGTCTTACATGGAATAGCCAGACAATGTGGCTGCTGCATCAAGAGTATGGAATCAGGATCTGACTCTCTGTAAAAAGCCATCACTTTAACAGTGCTCTGGCGAGTATCTTCATTAAAGCGGAGAGCTCGCCACTGATAACCAAGAATCTTGAAATTTCCTTGGTGCTTACTATCGCCTGAATGTATCTCATGATATCTTTCTTGTAGCCACTTCTCTGTTCTTCCCCAGTAAACTTTTTCCTGGAATAAATGTTACGGAATGTTGTTTTTTATGTTTAGTTTTGCATGAAAATTTCAAAGGAAAATGAAATATGATTAATCCTTTTATGTTTCATTACATTTATTTAGATTACTTAGTGTGCATATAGTATAAATAAGAAGCATGTTTTTTAAAAAATATCTAAAACAAATTTATTGAGTTTGAGCTTGTCTGTTCTTTTCTCAAATTTCTTCCTCCCAATTTTCCTCTCTTTCTATCCTAAGTATTCACCGAGTTCTAAATGAACCCTTAATGAATGTATCAGTACTAACAATCTATAACAAGATCTCAAAATGACCAGCCAAGTCTGTGGTAGTTCTTGAAAAAAAAACTAAAAACGAGGATTTTCAAATAAATAAAGAACATAGAGATGCCTATAGTGTGTTGAATGACTAATCTTCTCCTTTTCTAGTCCTCTACATCAGGGAAGGAGATTTTACAGTGATCAGGATGCTTACACACTGAAAACATGTATAAAAAACGTTGAATAAGCTCTTTCAGTCTAATTCAGAAATGAACGCTCTTAGCCACAAATTTCTCAATAGCATCAAACTGACCAGACATGAATTCACTATCAGTAAGGAATGCATTTAGATTAAGAGAACAATGAACGCATGAAATGCAATAAAAGCACTTTAATGTCAAGAAAAATACAAGAGGGGGAGAGTTAGTGGAAGATAAGACTGTACAGGTTTAGAAGAGGGGTAAGCTATGACAGAAACTTCGCCGTTTCCCTTGTCGGAAAGTGAACGGAAAACAGTTTTGCCATCTGCGCCGGAGCTGTCCCACCACTCGGAAGAGTAGAGCCAGTCTCCTTCATCTTCAGCACGGTTGCGCACGGTGGTAGAGAAGCGCCGGAGCTTCTGATCCAACCTCCGTCCAGCTCTGCACAATAGCATCACTCCAGAACCCCAGCAAACCCCTACGAAGATTATTACTACCTCAGTCATATTTTGTTTTAGTTTGACTCCGTTATTAATGAAGTGTTTGAAAAAATAAAAGTTGTGATTGAGATTTGACTATAATAAAGTGAAATGATGTAGACCACATATTTCATTCTAAAAAGAGAAAAAAGACGTTTATTTCGGGACAACTCAAAAAAGAAAGTAGTCTCGTACGTACCTACCAGACCTTAGATTCCCCTCTGCTTGATTAAATTTTAAAACACAAGAAACAAGCTCCTAAACTTTGTATCGAGAATAACAAACCCCTAAACTAAAAAAAAAAAGACTAAAAGGTCAGTTTGATCCTCGAAGTTGCATAAAAGGGGTCAAATAAGTTCTTGTATAGGAGATTCTATCCGAAAGTGCCATTTGAGGCGGTTTCCGGTAGAATTTTTTGATGAAAATTTTTTAACATCTTATTAATTAAGTCTAGTTTACTCATACCAAATTTCAGCTACAAATTTATTCGGGAAGACCTTCAAATGAGTGCTTGAAGATAACTGCGCTTTTAACTGCACAGTTATCTTCAAGAATTCATTTGAATGTCTTCCCGGTTGAATTTGTATCTCAAATTTGGTATGAGTGAACTAGACTTAATGAATAAGATGCTCAAAAAATTTCATCAAAAAATTACACCGGGAACAGTCCCAAATGGAGACGACCGGATAGAACCTCCTATATAAAGACTTATTTGACTCCTTTTATGCAACTTCGATGACCAAACTGACACTTTACTCAAAAAAAAAACTATTCCGTATTTGTATACAATCCATTTGTATATGTTTCATAACGTCCGTTTATGCAAATTTCACAAGTCCATGTCAATAACAATTTTAATATCCGAGAATATTTTGTTCATAGACAAAATATATTTATACGTGAACATAAGAATAATATGTTTACAGACACATTACACATATATAAGACACACTACATATATTTAAGGCATGTACAAATGAGGGTATACAAAAACAAGGTTATAAAGTATACACTTAAATGGTGTATTTTTGCAAAAAAAAAAGAAAAAAAAAACTCACTATGCTTGGAAATATATCTTCGGTAGGTTACATTTGGGTTTTACCATTAATTAATTATTATGGACATATCACTTAGGAAAAATTTAATAATAAAATAAGTGTTTATAATTGTTCTATAATCTAGAAAGATAAGACAAATATATGTACAATATCGTAATCATAGCACTATAAGCATATATTTACTTTATGATTAATTTCAGTGTTAATTTATTAACAAGAGATTTTTTCAAAAATATTATGAAGTACTAAAATAAAATTTATTTATACAAATATGACTAATAGTTACTAACTTACTACAATATAATGTTATATTCATTTAATTTAAAAAATTGAACATAAATTTTTAATGTAGTCACATTTTTGTAAACAAACTTTATTTTAGTTATGAATATGCAATTGTTTCTTAACACACGTGAAGTAGATAATTTTTTTTGATAAATATTTGCTCAATAAACATCTTTTATGTCTTAAGTAAACACTTCACTCCACACGTTTGAGTAAGCCACATGTTAAATTTTTTAAACGAACAAGTACACCATTCTTTGTATTACATAATGAAGGTCGTCAAAGTATCTCACCCTCCATCCACCCTAGGGATGGGAGTAGGTAGGGGATGAGTAAATCCTTGAAGAGTTGAAGGTCATAAATGGCTTTTAGAGTTAAATCATGTTTTCATAAAAATCATAAATGCATCGATCGGATAAAATCAAAATACTTTATCAAGTACCTTACATTAAAAACCAATAAAATATGTTTTAATACACACCAACACATGAAGTAAACTTGTTCCAAGGGGTTTTGGTTGCGTTCACTTGAGGAGACAACATATGCTCATCAAAATGAGCTCATTTTAAAAAGTTTATGGAATTAATTGTTTTATATGTACAATAAAAATTTATTATCGAGTCAGGTAATGTATTTTATATACTACATAAAGACATTGTAGTGTTTTATGAAAAACATATAAAGTATTTTATCAGTATTAAAATATTGTATATGATGCAATGTGAAATATTTAAAAAATGTGTCATGCCCTTGAGAATCTACATACTCCGTATTTTTTTTTTGTATCACTACATTTCGCATGCAAACTAAGAGAGAAAGAGCAAATTAACAACTGCTTCTTCTACATTTTAAAACCTCCCCCCAAAATCGAAGAGGATCATAAAAGAACAAGGAGTACAATACAACCCGACCCTTGGGTCAAAAGATAATAATAACGGAAACCAAAGGAATTCTCAAACGGCAGCTCTCCGGACTTGGACCTTACCGTTGGGAATCAGATTCTGAAAGTTTTTCCGAAGACGGGTATGGCCCATTCAAAGCCGACTGTTCTTGGCTTTATTCAAAAGTCAGAAATTCTACAGCTCCCTCCAATTCCAATCTATAATCATTCTTTTCTTTCATTCCCCATCCATTCCCACTGGGATTTCTATTATTCTACTCCGTATATGTTTATTATTATCCCATTTGCGTACTCAACAACTCTTCCCCAAACTCATCATAGTTTCCGGAAAACCTGAAATTGGGTTTCAAACTTTTCGCACAACCAGCAATTCTTCACAAGAAAAGATAAAGTTGGTTCCTTTCTTTTTTATCATATTATTAGTATTATTATATTGTTTTATTATTATTTAATTAAGATGGGATTTTGTTTTTCCTTTTAGTGTATCCGAAGGTAAAGGTGAGGGATCAAGAAGAAGGAGATGATGATAGGTGGTATGCCTATGGGTTGGGCTCTTTGGAATCCTTAAAAGCTTTTGAAGCAATTTCCCTCTCTGTCTTATCTTCTTCAGGTAATACCTTTGATCTCTCATCCATTGTATGAGATTACTATCTCTATGACAATTTTATTGTCCTAATTTCTCTGCTGAGCTACTTACTGGTGAGAATTTCTCTCTCATAATCCATTGCTAGAGAGGATTTTGGCTATATCTTCTGATGACCATGATCTTTACATTGTGCCCATTTAATGAACTTGGGGTCTCTTTGGATGAAGAGTTTTGGAGGGCTTGGTCATGTGGGTTATTGTGTATACACACTCATTTGGACTATTTCCATCATTTGCAATGGAGTCAAGGACTCACTATTTTTTGGCTTGGGAATATGATTGAATAAAGCAAAATGACTTACTATATTGTCTGCGCTTCTTTATTATGAAGCAACAGTCAGTCCATGCAATTTTTGGTGCGATTTTCATTATGGGTCATTCGAAAACAGTCTCTCTGTACTTTAGTACATGGGTAAGATTGCGTACATCCAACCTCCCTTACCCCACCGAAGGTGTGGGAGTCTTTGCGGCATTGGGGTAATGATGATGAATGATGACACTCATTGGACTGACCTAAAACATTACTTAGTATATAGTAATTTACTACGTATTATTTAATATCAATTTGGTGCGGTATATACTCTGTATACTTCAACCCGCTCTCAAACATACCTTAAACAGCCTACCATTAATCATAGGTTCCTCAGGGTCAAGCATACCCGAAAATAGCCTACCATAAACCAAAGGGACAAAGAGAGCAAGCAAATCACAATTGAACTTGATTCTAATAGCATATTAAGTACTGAAATCTCAATCTAAATGGTCACACTAATAGGAGTAGTCCATGATCTTATACAATGGTTTGTAATTTTACCTACCATTTTGAGATAATTACTTGACAAATATATATTTGGGTATAAATGTTGTAAGTGCATGAATACACTTGGGAGATTTTGCAAGATACACTGCTTTTGGGTGTTTATTCTAAGACAAATCATGTGTTTTGTATGGGAAATTTACTTAAATGTTACTAAAACATTTATAGATTCCTAATATATGACTAACAAACTTAAACATGATTTTATGAGTAATAATTAAATTCAAGAGGGAAGAAGTAGGATCAGAATGCATTCCATACATATAAAACACCATTGATTTAGGAATAAAAAGTATGTAGTCATATTTTAGGAATCACCATCTCTTTGGATCATACACCTAGTAATTTTCTCTAGATATATCTGGATAAATAGAACGTTTCTTAAAACGAATGAAGTGTCATTGAAACATTACTTTATCATTTCTGTAATTTTACATTAACTCTAGCTTTCCAAAAACAAACTACCAAACTGAAGAAATCGTATAATCATATTCGGCTTGATTTCTAATCACAAAATTGAGTGACTATACAATGGTGAACATGACACCATACTCTGGTCATGAGGATGATCAAGCATAGAATATATGAGTATGATTTAATATATTATTTATGTTAATGTTACCTGTATAATAACCAAAGATATAAAATTAGTTTAACATTATTTTTGTTTTTGTGGTAACATAATAGTTTTTCATGTCTTCAAAAAACTATATGAAATTCATGTTAGTTAGGAATGCCAAACTTGTGTGTGTGTGTGTGGTCTTTCGATCTTTTGTTCTCATTTGATTTCTTTAAATATGTTATCTGAATTTTGTGGTTTCCTTATTTGATGCAAAGATGATTCTCCTACCTCAGTTGTAAGGATACCTACGTCGTACATGTCGAGTTCACCCAAACCTCCAACCCCTTTGCCTACAGGTAACACTTTTTTTCTAGCTTGCTTTCTTGTATATTTATGATACAACGGAAAATATGTTGCTTTCTTTTATGATCATATTGATAACAAAAGCAACCGTTAATATGTGGTAAACTATTAAACTATCACATATTCAGAACTTAGTCAGCTCTTATGTAGTGTTTGAGTTTATTCCCAAGACCGCGAGTGTAGTGTAGTGTTTAACTTATAAAGATTCGTGGCAGAAGCAACAAGTACCAAGAGCGAAAAAACTTCAAGTGGCAGAGAAACAACTATGCGAGCTAGTTTAGTCCCAAGACCACGAGCAGTCTTATCTAGTCCAGGTACAGTTATTGGTAAAGGTTCATTTTGGTCCCCTAAATTATAGGGCATTGGGAAACTAGTCCATTTAGATTCTTTTATTTGGTAAAATAGACCGTTATTCCAAAAATGTCAAAATTTTAGTCCGAAAAAACCCACGAAAAGTTATAAAATTTCGAAAATCCTGCTCAAAATGGGGTTTCAATGATTTGGTGGTGACTTGTGTTTTTTCTTGATAAAAAATGTTAAAAATGCATTTGAAGAGCATAGGTTGCTGTAGTGTTTTTCCACCAATTTTTTCGATCTCTGGGGACTTAATGACTAAATTGTTGACATTTAAAAAATAGTAGGTTTAATTTATCAAAAATAAATTCCAAGCTCAGTTATTCTAATGATGATTAACATGCATCCCCCTCTGTTATGTTTTTGTATTGTTTCAATTCCAGATAATGATCAAATTATAGGAAGTAGTAACAAGGGAAGAGCTAGATTGCGTCCCAGTTTGAGAAACCAGAACGTGTGTCAAAGTAGAGGGGTTCAATGCAAAACAATTCCTAGAACAAACAAAGTTGGAACCCCTTTAAAGGCTAAAGATGTCAAAAGTCCAGATGACGGTGAGACTGGTTTGAGAAACCAGAACGTGTGTCAAAGTAGAGGGGTTCAATGCAAAACAATTCCTAGAACGAACAAAGCCGGAAGCCCTTTAAAGGCTAAAGATGTCAAAAGTCCAGATGATGGTGAGACTGGGATTCAGATCAAAGGGAGGACGGTTAGACGTGATCAGTCCAAATTGGGAGAAGGAACAACATCTGCTAGAATTAAGGGACTTGGGTGATCCTGGAATTGCAAGAGTGATTGTTTTATTACTTGGTTTAAAGATAGTCTTTACCTGCTGAAGTTATTTATGCAATATAATTGAAGCAACTTGTTGTTCCCATTATATGAGCAAGCATGAAATTGCATAGCAACTGAAGTGTAAAAGATTTCGTTATATCTTAGGGATTCTTAGCAATTACAAGGCAGTGTTTGTTATAGCTGTTTCCGAATCAATACTGCTTGTTACTTTTACAAAAAGACAGTAGTTTTTTTAAGTTATGGATTCAGCTTAATTTTAAGCACTTTAAAGCTGAAAACTATATGCAAAAGTGGTGCTGTTTTAAACTGCTTTTTAACTTTTCTTTATCGTTTCACTGTAATAATATACTACTGAAAACTATATGCAAAAGTAGTATCAAAAGTACTTCACAATTAACTAACATTTACTTTGTAAAACTCAATAATATACCAATGAATATAGTTTCACCAAACAACCCAATGTTTAATTTGCAAAAGTCATTTTTATTTTGAAGCACTTACCACTTTACTACTAGTATTAAACATTCATATAATCCTGAAATAAACAACTTCTCAGATGAGATGTGCGAAACAAACGAGTCCATAAGATATAAGCTTAACCCCTCTAAGACCTTCCTCTCTTAACCCCTTTATTCAAATCAAAATGATAAAATCAGCACATCTTTGAACTGCTCTTGAGGATTTTCTGCAATTCCAGAAGCTTCTTGAAGCATAATTAAAATTTTTGAGAAGTACACAATAAATGGCCACCAAGTAACCATTTCATTCTGCAAGAAATGTGGCCTGTATTCTAGTTCTAGTAAAAGAGTAACCATTCCACCAGAATCCTCAATTATATTGCCAATCAAATAACAACTTTCATTCTTTCAGTTCAGAAATTTACAAAATGCAATCACCATTACTCTTTCTTGCCTTCTGCTAAGAAAACGCGTAGTGCCCTTCCCTCCAATTCCTGTGACATTTGAATTTTGTAATTGGGAAAATATAAGCGCAGATGTTGCAAATTAATCCAAGTAAATTTCATCATAATGTAATTGATTTAATATACTTCGTGGGCAATACATGAGATACACCAAGACACCAGACAGAACGTCCGAGAATTTGAATTTCTGGGGGAGTTGGAAAAATAGTTCATTCATATAAATTTTTGTAATTAAACACTATACACGAAAAAATACGTTCACTAAACTTGGGATGGGCTGAGGTCCAAAGTGGTGTCCACCTATTTACACCACTGGTTAACAAGTGCTACACACCAAGTTACTATACCAATATACATTAATGCTAAGAACAACAACAATTAGGTTATTCCAGTTCTGTTTCTTAATTTATTTATTTTCAGCTTTGCTGTGTGCCTAAGATTTCTTGCTAGTTCATCAATAATTAGACACTTTCCTGAAACCAACTAACATTGTATTGATATTAACTGAATAATGGTTGAATACTTAGATAAACCAACAATGACAATGAATCCACAGTCGTGCCTAAAGTGCAGAAGATTCATGAACTAAATGTGTATAATGACCTAAAAGTCATTGGATAGGAAGATTGGTATGGTTGTTGGTACTGTGAATAGGAGGACTGGTCCAAACAAATGTTTGACAAATTTTGGATTCCTGTCTCTCCGTCACACCCCGCCCCAATGGATGTAGTTAGGCAAATTATTGCACTTGATATAAGAAACAAAGACAATCAGAAAGCTGGAACCGGAACTGGAATCGCCGGTTCCGGTCCCTGCTAACTGGAGCTATATGCCTATATACCACTGGTTTGATTCCGGCTCTCATATTTCAGGATTTGTACCAGCACCATGTCTACCCGACTACCCCTAGGCCCTAGTGCGTAACTTGTGTTGTTATTTAAGGGCAGTGCTTTAGCATTTTTCATATGGTGCATACCTCTCCATTCATAGAACTGAGTGCATTTTCCATCTCCTCTTGAGTTTCGTAGCTAACAAAACCATAGCCCCGGGACCTGCCAGTCTGACCGTCATACAGAACCCTTGCTCCGACCACATTACCATGTTTCTCAAATGCAGCTGATAGGATCTCAGATGTGACAGTCCAGGATAAATTGCCAACAAACAGTTTGTGATCGGATTCTGGATATAGAGGGTCCTTTGCTTGAGGCCTGTTTGAGAAGTTCACCCTCATTATTCTACCTCCAAGTTCCTGGAATATATCCTCGTAAGGTGTAATTAAATAGCCCTTTCAGAATGAAACTAAGTCCAAATCAAAACTTTTGGTCCTATTTAACCTGTTACGTATTACAAAATATGATGTTTCTTACCGTTCTATCAAGATTTTGTATAACTGCATGACAATCTTCTATAGAACTCATTGTCACGAATGCATATCCTCGGCTTTTACCCGTTACTCTATCATACAGAACCTATACACACAAATACATGGTTAAATATTACGTTTATAAACATTACTACTGAGGGTCCAACCATGATAATACACACAAATGCATGGCTATATACTTAATTACTGTTAAAGACATAACCAATGAGGGTCCAACCATAATAATTAGATCACACACTCTCCTTCGGATGTGCATCAAAGAGAGTGGATCCAACCAGGGGCAGAGCTGAGAATTCATGTTGGGCTTTGTTTGTACTAGGCTGAAAAAATATTGAAGTAATTGAATGGAAAATAAGAAAAAGTTTACATTAAAAAATTAAAGAGTTACATATGTTGCCGCTGCTTCGGCAACAAATGTAACACCCAGCCTGGGTAATGGTGTTACACCACATTCCTAGTGTAGATCCGCCTCTAGATCCAACCGTCTTCGTCCCCATACGTCAATAATTATATTTGTTGCATTGAAAGCCCCCATGCTCCAACAGTAGCATTAACTGGAGCAAATCGAAATAGCGAATTCCTTGTGTGAAAGGCCACATTTGGATTAACACCTCAATTCCCACAATTTTCTTATTTCTGGTAGTTTGACTCCATCCTTCCAAATTGTTAAAGTAATTATCCCTTATTTTTTTAAAAACTTCATACAAAATAATACTCCCTCCGTTCTTTATTAACCGTCTCATATTCCTTTTTGGGACGTTTTTAATTATTTGTCTCTCTTTCCTTTTTCGGTAAGTTTTTTCAATCAAAATTACCTTTATACCCCTACTTTTATTACCATTACCCATTTCTCTTTCCTACCTTTTCATTTACCCACAACCCACTACATCTCTTACGCTATCCCTATTATTTTCCCTTTGAAACCCGTGACAAAGACTAAGAGGACATATAATAAAGAATGGTGGGAGTAGCTTTTTTCATGGAATCCTAAATCTTGATATAATGTGGTCTGATAGTGATATGTTTGTTGGACAACCCAGATTTGGGCAATCTTTTAGGGATTGGTTTGGCCCATTTTAAACTCTCCAGTTGTAATATTTGAGTTGAAGAATGTTATGTATTGGTGATCTGATGATAATAAACTTACAGAACTGCACATTTTCAGAATATCATCAAGTAATTGCAGGATGGACCAGTTCAAAATAATAGACTTAATCTGCAGAAATTAGTACTAAGTACCTCAACAAGCTCAGGGCTTCCATATTCTTGAACAACTCCAGCAAGCTGTGCACTGTCACAGTTATATGGCAAATTCCCAAAATAAAGCTTCAAATTTTGAACCCCACTTTCCTCCTCCTCCGTTCCCGTCGAAGCAGCTTCTCCGTCCACCTCTTCTTCGTGTTCTTCCTCTTCCTCCTGCTCTGTTTCCGTTAAAGCAGCTTCTTCCGCCACAGCTAGCCTAGCTACTCTGCGTTTGGGAGAGACGGCGGCGGCGGGCGTAAACAAGCACCGGACCATTCCGAGGAAGTGGGACTGCAGTGATAAAGGAATCTGCGATGATGCCTTGATGGAAACATGAAGCCTGGGTAGTTGGTCGGAAGTGGTGGGCCTGTTCTTGGGGCGGCTGCAGTTGAGGTTTTGCATGGATGTGGAGAACGAGGATGCCATGGAGGTGGCTGCCATGTCGCCGGAAAATTACCCCGGTTACTGGTTTGCTGTGGTTGAGGGCGGTTCGGGTTGCTGGGACGAACTGGAGAAGGGAGCTAAGAAGAGTGAGTTTGTGGGTGAAGAAGAAGGGGCTATCGCGTTTCGTTTGTTGACGTGGCATGACAATGGCCAATAACAATGCAGAGAATAGACAATGGATAAGATTACCGGTTATCCTTTGATGGGTTCTAAGCATAGTTGATACTCTCTCCGTCCCTAAAAGAACTTCCAACTTTCCCTTTTCGTCCGTCCCAAAAAGAACTTCACTTTCCCATTTTGGTAAAGAATTTGTGGTTCACAGCATTTCTCTCTCCTGCACAACTCTCCACTACACAATTTCCACTTTCTTAATCTGTGTGCCACTTTATTTTGAAAGAAGGGACGGAGGTAGTACTTGTTACGTACTCCAGTGGCGTATGCGTATATGATATATCAAGACTATAGAAAGTTATGGACCTATAGTCATGGGAAATAATTCTTAAACTATTTCTACACATACAGCTCTGAAATAAAGTGAGAAAAAAAATGTAAAACACAGGGTTTCACTAGACTTTGTCCAATAAATAACATGATATAACAAGTCAAAACTGATTTAAAAGTCGGATTGTCCCAAATCTCAATTTTTAAAGTAAGCGTATTTATATGATGAAGTAACTCTTTTGGGACTAATATTTAGATGTTGTTCTTATTGGCTTGTTATATAGTCTTTTAACTGATGAATTGAAAATAATAACGAGTCATATTTAGACTCTTTGCCTATAAAGTCGTTGCAATGTCGTTGTTTGGAATAATATTACACTAGTACACAAGCATTACACTGATTGTCACAGGTGATACGAGCGTATGTGCAATTGAATTTTTCTTTGAATAAATATTTTCTTTTATTTTTAGCTTATTAAAATTTGTTTACTTGTTTGCAGTTCAATATTTCTATGTGTAGTATTTTAATAAGGCGTGGCAAAGCGTCGAAGCCAATCCTCAAACCTTTAAAATTTAGGTGGCAATAGGCGAAACCAAGGCTTGAAAATGCGTTTTAGAATTCTACTAATAATTACTACAAATTACTTTATAGTGATATATAAAGAAAATAAATAAATGTCCAAAATATATTCTCCATCCGTCCCATTGGACTTAGTCAACTTTCTCTTTTTTGTTATCTAAAAAAACTTTGTCACTTTCTCATTAAAGTAAGTAATTTGTGGTTGTTCTCAATTATCTCTCCTCTCTCAACCACACAATTTTTAGTTTTCTTATTTCTCACATACTTCAAAGAGTGCAATGTCCATTGGGGCGGAAGTAATTTACAACATTGAACTTGTTTTTTAAAGAGAAAACAGACAAATAAGCCTTCGAACTATTTGCGTTTTTGCAATGAGGCCCCTGAACCAGAAGAATTGCAAATACACCCCTCAACTCATTGAAAATCAAACAATCAGGTCCTTTTCTACCCGTTGGTGCATGTAAGGAGATGAGAAATTACCGACACTAGCGGGGTAAAAAAGGACCGGATTGCTTGGTTTTCAATGAGTTGAGGGGTGTATTTATAATTCTTCCAGTTCAGGGGTCTCATTGCAAAAACGCAAATAGTTCGAGGCTTATTTGTCTGTTTTCTCTTTTTTAAATTGTTCAATATATATGATGTTTTCTTTTGAACTGTTTTTGGTCCCAGACTAGACCAGATCAAACCAGACCAGACCAGACCAGAACAGACCAGACTTCTGTAGTTATAAAATACACAGGGACCATAAATTTACCAGACCAGACCAGAACAGTTTAGACCAGATCAGACTAGACCAGCAAATTTCATTCTTAAAGAAAACATCCTTGCATTTCCCTGCTCCGTACTGGACTCCATATACATAACATGTATATAAAAACGCAAATTATACCGTGGGATCGTTACACCGTGAGCACGGTGTACCGATCCCAAAACGGCGCCACTTTTCAATTAAAACAAATACGGCATCTGGAATTGTGTTGCGCCACTACCACTCAAACAGAGAGTCCAGTTTGATTTTAGTCTACGCGAGTCCCCCATCTGGAATTGCCTTGCTCCGATCCGCATCTGGAACTGCTACGCTTTTGCTATGCGTTGAAACAACAGGTTTCCGCCCTCTGAAATTCCTATGTATCTGGGAGCGCTGCACCGGAAAACCAGATCCGTCGCTGACCTCCATGATTGTTCCACCCCTATTATCTCTCCTGGAGTCCGCTGATATGGTGACGACGTTCACCAGGAGGAAAACTCCATTTAGAATTTTAGATGCCTTGTTTAAACCCATCTACGGTTTATAATATACAGTTTATATTTTTATTTTGGGCTGAAGTTTTTTCATTTGGGCTCAAGTTACACAACTATTAAAACAACTTACATTTTCATTCAGTTCAAGTTATATTTAAATTAGCACAATTTATAATTTCTAATTTTCTCAAGTTACATTTTACATATCTTCAGTTTACATTTTCATATGCTAAAGTTACATTTTTATAACACGTAGTTTACATTTCACATATGAAAAGTGATAGAACTACCGGAGGGAGTAACTGAGTTACATTTCAGGGTACAAGTTACATCTTTTGTCAATCGAAAGTTACATTTGTAGCAACACAAAATACCCCTTTTATTGAAACAAAAAAAATCCGTTTTTAAATCATTTTTTTGGCAAGAATATGATTCTTTAGGGGGGAATGATTTTTCATAACATTTTATGATCTTAATATTAAAAACAAAACATATTCACTATTTAGGTAAAGTAATTAAACAATTAGACTCATTTTTTTTATTGTTAACATTCTAATCAATGTTTTAGACAAGTTACATTTTGAATGAACTTGAGTTACATAGATCAATAACGTGAGTTACATATTTTTACACGCGATTGTTACATCATTCATGCTACTGGGACAAAAAGAAATAAAAAACGGTTACTGTACATGCGTGTACTGTTCACGCGTTTTTTTTGCAATGCTGCGTCGTTTTGGAGTTGGGAGCATGGTGCTCACCGTGGGATGATCCCACGGTATACGAACTCATATAAAAAGTTTTTCTTTTTAATTTAATCAATGCTTGTTTGCAAAAGAATTCATCTTAGAAACTTCAATCTTTTCATGTCTAGTCTTCCGTTTCTTCACGCTTTTGATGGTCAACTCTTTACTTAACTGCCTTTTTCATGTCTTTCTATTATGCAAGACGTTTTTCTACCATCTCACACCTAGGCCATGCCTTTTGCTATCTTTTAGAACACTGCTTCTGTCTCATATTGGATGTCTTGTTGTAATATTGCACAATTATTAATTACACATTTGAAAAATAAAAATTGTGACTGAGATAATTATAATAAATTGAAATGATATGAATGACATATATCTTGCAAAAAGACATGACATTCATCTTGGGACAATCCAAAAAGAAAAGTAAGAAAACCAAGATGAGACACATGTAGTATTAGTTTGAAATTTGAAATTTTATTTTATGTCATCATGTGCCAGCTAGGGGTGCAAACGAGCCGAGCCGAGCCCGATTTTCTACAGGCTCGAGCTCGAGCTCGAAATACATAGCATCGGCTCGAGCTCGGGCTCGGCTCGAACGAGCCTACAAAATCGCGGCTCGAAATCGACTCGCAGAAGGCTCGGTTCGACTCGGCTCGGCTCGAGGCTCGATAACCATTATGATGCTCCATAATGAGTCCGTAGTAAAAATTCACTGTCATCGACCCATTCTAAGTTTTTCTACTGAGTAGTAACGACCTAAGCCTAAAATATTATAAAATTTTACTAATCAACATATATTATATACTCCCTCCGTCCCCTTTTAAATGTCCCGTTTTACCATATTGGGATGTCCCTATTTAATTGTCTCATACCTTATTTGGTAAAGTTTGTGTGGTTCAAAATTATTTTTACTTTATTCTTACTTTATCAATTAATATCAATCACACAAACCCACTTTTCTTAAAACTCGTGTCATACTCTTCCGAGACATTTAAAAGGGGACGGAGGGAGTATATCATATATATTACTCCGTACATTATAACAGTATACATTATATATTAATTTATATTGCATAGTAATATATTATATATGATATATATATATATATATATATAGACAAAAGTTCATGTCCGGAATTCCGGACAGGAACCGCCGTCCGGACGGCGGCGTTTGGCCGCCTTCCCGGTGGAATTTTTTGATGAAATTTTTATGGAATGTTCTCCATCAAGTCTAGTTTATCCACAAAAAAATTCAGCCAAAAACTCAATCGGGAAGGTCGTCAAATGATTTTTGCAAGTTAACTGGTCCGGAATATGTATTTTCCGGACCAGTTAACTTGCAAAAATCATTTGACGACCTTCCCGAATGAGTTTTTGGCTGAATTTTTTTGTGGATAAACTAGACTTGATGGAGAACATGTCATAAAAATTTCATTGAAAAATTCCACCCGGAAGGCGGCCAAACGCCGCCGTCCGGACGGCGGTTCCGGTCAGGAATTCCTGACCGGAAGAGTACTCTATATATATATATATATATTATAAATATTCACACATAAAATTAGGCTCGCGAGCCAGCGAGCCTGAAATTAGAAGGCTTGAGCTCGACTGCTTAACGAGCCGGCTCGAGTTCGGCTCGAGCTCGAATTTGACCGAACCCGATTCGAGCTTTGACCGAGCGGCTCGCGAGCGGCTCACGAGCGGCTCAGCTCATTTGCACCCCTAGTGCCAGCGATTTAATGAGGAAGCACAATTATTGTTAAATATATTTTTATTTAATTGAAAACATATAAGGGTTGCACCGATGTGATACTATCGATTTTTATATGAGTTTTCCAAAAACATTCCAAAACCAAATCAACATCGGATCAACGATTCTTTTAATACTTTTTAATTCTTTTCAGGAGTCATACCGATCACATTTAGTGTTGTTTGAACATTTATCGATCCAAGCTAATTTACACTTCTCGGCTACACCATTTAATACAACATTCATATTTTGAAATTTGATTGTCTTTTTACTTTTATACTCCGTCTTGTAATCTATTCGATGAATTGAGGGATTTGCTCAATCATCAGATCTGAATTGAGAGCACATGTTTGCAGATTGCTTGGGAGAGAGGGTACCGCCATGTAAGTCTAGAGCTGGATTCACATACTGCAATTCAGCTATTTCGTATGATTTGCTTGAAATTTTCCGGTATAAAAACGTCCTTGCGCATATGAGTTTACCAAAAAAGAGTGGTGAGTTGTTTTTTACTTTTTTATGTGTGTCAAACGTATTGCACAATGAATTGAGTCCAAATTTAGAGCCCGTTTGGTAGCACAAAAATCGGCTGTTTTGGCTGATTCTGCTGAAATGTATGAAGTTATGGCTGAAGTGGCTGCATTGGCTGATTCTGCTGATTTAAGAAAAAAATATTTTAAAAATATATTTTATTAATAACATAAAGAAAAAATTATATGTAAAAATAACTAAAACACTCATCTACAGTAACTTCAGCCAATACAGCCAGAAAAGTAACTCTAACCTTACTTTTTCTGCTTATTACACAATTCAGCGCGCGAAAGTAAAAGTTGCGTGTTTGGTGAAAAAACTGGCTGATAAGCCTGATAAGCCAAAAAGTTGGGTTGCCAAACGGGCTCTTAGTGTGTAACTATGTTGCGCATTGAGGGAAAAAGTAATAATGATAAATAAAGATTAGAAAATAGATGGGCTAATAACGGACGGTCCGCATGAAACAATGGGAATACGGCCACAGGCAGGATTTTAAGTTTTTTTTTCCTTTTCTGTTATTTTGCTGCCTTTGGATATGGATACTACTCCCAAATTTGTTATACTACCAGAAACACCAACATTAATAAAGGGCCAAACCAAAGTTTACCAAGCGGCTGCTCTCCGCAGCGGCTCCGGAACCAGTGGCCGCCGTGCTGTGATGAACTGTGACTGAGCGCCGCCGCTCCATCATCTCACCGCGCGGATTTACTCCGTTCTTCCCTTCCGCTAAAAATTTCGGGCTTCTCTTCCCTCTTCCTCTCCTTCATGCTGTAGGTGTTGCCGAGAAATGTGAAGTGAAATCTGCGATTGGATTGGGTATCGTCTACTCTTCAGATCTCGTCGGCGGCATTTCTAGATCTAGGGTTTTGGAGTCCCTCCTCCTGCCATCCTCTCTCCCCATGGCCACACCATTTTCCTTACCCGTTACCGCTGCACAGGTCCGCCCTCCTGCTATATCTATAAGGCTTCTTGTTTTCTGAAATCATTCATCTAGTACTGAAACTGAGGGAATGTGCGGTATAAGTAACACTATATTTATATCAGTATAACGCAGTAGCTGGGCTGCGTCTATACTTGTGATCAGAATTTCGTATTTCTTCACATACTTTGTGAAAGTGATGGTGATTGGGTAGGAATGCATGGGGGCACAATGATTATCTAAATTTTATTAGCTAGGTAAAGTGATATTTTATGTGTATGAGTATCAAATGGTGTATTTGCATGTCAGGTCGGTTCATACTTCGTAGGACAGTACTATCAGATAATACAACAACAGCCAGAATTTGCCCACCAGCTCTATAGTAATGTTAGCACCATGATAAGGATTGATGGCAATGGTAGGGATGCTGCTTCTGGCATGCTGGTACTGCATCTTACCTTTTTACATTCTTTTCAGTTTTTGGTTGGTTTTAGATTTAAGACTAAAAAAGCGTTTGAATAAGATGTTTATGAATATTCAAATAGTGATGGATTTATCAGTGAATATCAACATGTGAGCTGCTATTGTAGTTTCCAACACTTCTACACAAGATTAGTTTTCTGTTAAGCATTTGACAAAAGAAGCTAATGAACCTTCAAGTGTGAAATTAGTTAGAGGGATAATTCTTTTAAGATTTCCGCAACTTACTGTTACAATAAAGCAGAACAAATTAGGAGCAAGCATCTTGACTAGGGTTCAGCATATTTCTATTCTGAAATATTGAATGAGTATTGCAGATCCTTTGAAGATTTGAAATGTAATCAATCTGAATGGCTTCCAGTATAATCAGTCTATTTTTATTTTAAAATCTAATTAATCTGCTCATATTCCAAATGCACACCAGCTGAAAGTAGGTATTATCCATTGTGAAATAAGGATTATAACCTGATCTCCCTGATACTACTGATGCAGATCTATACACTATATTTTTTTTCCCTGAAATTTTGATGATTTGATCAAATAGGTTCCCTGACTTAATGCCCAGAATTAACAATACTTTGTTCGTCTTTTTATTTTATTGCAAAATAAAGTTGAGGGATTAGCAATCAGTTTCTGATGCACTTTTCTATGCAGTGCCTTCAACTCCACTCTCAAATCAGACATTCTTATTTTATCCCCCCTCCATCTCTCCTTGTTCATCATTTAGGGATATCAGACTAATTGGTGCATTCTTTGATTTATTTAGTTTTTATGTTTGGCTCTGGCTGTTATTATCCATTCACTCATTTGTGTTTTGTTTACACACTTGAAGCAAATCCACACACTTGTCATGTCACTCAATTACACCGGGATAGAGCTCAAGACAGCACATTCCCTAGAATCATGGAACGGTGGTGTTTTAGTGATGGTTTCTGGCTCTGTCCATCTAAATGGATTCAGCAGGAGAAGAAATTTTGTGCAAACCTTTTTCCTTGCGCCTCAGGAGAAGGGTTACTTCATCCTCAATGATATCTTTCACTTTATTGAAGAGGAAAAGATAACCCCACATCATGCCACCTATTTAAGTCAGGGCAGCGTTGATCAAAAGCTTAATCAAACTACTGCATTTCCACATGAAGGTATTGTTTTTCACTTTTATTTGCTCTACAGTGTACACCAGAGAGTTATAAGTCCCTCTGTCTCACAATGTTCTTCCTCTTTTCTTTTGACCCTGTTTTTTTCTTCTTCTAAAATCTAACACTATGTTAATCATAAACGTTGCTATTTCTTGATCCAACGTAATTACACACATCCTATCACTGTGGGATAGAGGGAGTAGTTTTTATACACCACAATGTCATAAGATTGATGCTTGTTGCATATTTTTACATGAGATAATCTCATTATTCTCCAATTTGCGATAAATTTGTGCTGTAGTGTCCAAATACATGCTTGGAGGTGAAATTCCGGCTAGGGAATATGTGGATCCGGCAAAGATTGAAGAAAATGGACGAGTCAATGGCTACCATTATGCAGAAGAGCAGCTGCAGAAAGCATCTGAGGTTCAAAAGATCCCTGAAGACAATTATGCAGTCCAGTCAAATGGTTCACTTCAGAGTACAATAAACATGTCACGAGATTACTTGTCTCCCCAAATTGAGGAACCGATTGCTGAGCCCCAGAAACACACTTATGCTTCTATTGTATGTGTTTTTCTTAAATTAAAAAAAACTTATTATTGCATGTTTGCATGATACTATGATTTTGATTTCAAATATATATGTTTGGTAATTGCTGAAAGTTACAGGTTGCTAAAGCACCATCTGTCCAAGCTTCTATCAATCCTGCACCTGAGTCTCAAGGTGTGTCAGACGCCCCTGCCCAGCTGGCATCTATGCCGTCCAACTCTGTCGAGAGGTCAGTGGTTGAAGTAGTTGAAGAATATCCAGTTGTGGATGATGAAAGTAAGTTTGCCCTGTTGTCTTTAGTCATAGTGCACTGGGCATGTTTGGATCCTGGAAAATTCTAGTCAGTGGTTGGGGGATTATGTGGAAAGTTTTCTCGTGCTTGGTTATTACTGCAGAAAATCCCAAGGAAAATGAAATAAGATTATTGTTTAATCATTTTTTACACATCTCTTACACATCTCTTATTCTTTAGAGTTTGAACAAATGTTTTTTGTTGTCCCTCATGTTTTCTTCCTACCTGGCATCCCTATATTTTTCTCTCTATCTTCTTTCCCTGACATTTTTCCAAATGAACTTGTTATGTGTGTCTAAATGCTCTTGTACAAGACTCATTGTGTCCAATTTATTTCCTTATTTCCTTGAATTCTTATAGTGGAGGTGAAGTCAGTGTATGTGAGAAATGTACCAACGACAATGAGTCCCGCTGAAATCGAGGAGGAATTTAAGAAGTTCGGTAAACTAAAGCCTGATGCTGTGGCTATTAGAACACGAAAGGTTTGTTTCTGCACACATTTAATATTGCACCTTAAACTTACGCGTTTTAGTTTGACACTACTAGTTGTTAGACTCAACTGTTGCTAGATTGAGCCCCTTAACTATATACTATGTAAGTATGTAGTATTAATCAATTTGGTCTTCTACTTCTGGACTCAATCTAGTCATAGACAATGCAATTTAGATCAAACATATTTTTTCTAATTATGAAGGGTATTTTCATTCATTTGAGAACTTAATTAGGTGTACATCACATATTGCAAAAATGTGCCCTAAAATGGGACTATATTTAGTGCATCGGCATAAATACCCTTCTTACAGCGAATTAGATATGTATGAAAACTAAACTGGGTCTAAATTGAATGGTCACGGACCATCCAGAAAAAAAGTTGAGGACCAAATTGTGTAACAATGTGCATTTGACGGATTCAGTGGAGCAGTAATTCTAGGTTATATTAGGTCTAAAACAGTTGGGGCTGATTTGGCATATATATTGGATAAAACTGATGCAGGATTTTGATGTATGCTATGCATTTGTTGAATTTGAAGACATAACAAGTGTGCAGAACGCAATTAAGGTTTGATCTTGTGTTACTTCAATCTTGCTGATTGAAGTAAATTAAATTCTTCATTATTAACATCTAAAGTAAAATGCCTTATTTGCTTATTTGAATAGCCTCATTAAAATATGCTCTGCAGGCATCCTTTGTTGAAATTGGAGGACACCAGCTATATATTGAAGGTAGAAGACCAAACAGAAACAACTTTTACCGAGGAAGTATGTGTTTTTTTTTTCTGATTTGCCATCTTATTTATTTATATGCACATACATTTTCATGATCTTTTCAATACATGATACGCACATACATTTTCATGATCTTTTCAATACATGATACGCACATACAGTTTCATGATCTTTTCAATACATGATACGCACATACTGATCTTTTCAATACGTTTTCATGATGCCCTCTGACCTTCAAATAAATCTTGAATTGAAAAAAAAAAAAACAGGAGGTCGCGGGAGAGGAAAGGTCAATTACCAGATGGATGGAAGGGCGGGGTCACAGTTTCGTGGCCATAGAGGAAGTATCGGGGATGGCGGTGATCATGACTACCGAAATTCCTCTTCATCAGCAAGAGGCAATGGTGGTGGTTTCTATCGGCAAAATGGGCAAACTCCACGCCACGAAAGAGCCTTTTCTTATGGTTCAAGAAATGGGCACAGCGGATCGGAATAATTAATTAGTCACTAGTGTGAAACCACGCTATAGTATTTTTTTGAGTACCCAACTATATATATATTCGAAACCTTCCAGCATATATCTGGGCAAAATTTAGATTTTATTTTTAGATTATACTCCGTATTATACAGACTCGTGGAACTGTGGAAGTGATTTCCTGGACTCATGGTTCTACAGCTTTTTCTATATAAATCACTTTCTTATAATCACTTTCTTATAGATGATGTGATCTCGAGGTAAGACAAAAAAAATTGGACCCCATAAATTGTATTCAATGTAAATAACGTTGATACATAAAATTGGAGATAAATGTGACGAGTTGCTAAGTGATACCACGTAGTAAATTGATACTTTTCTTTTTGGATGGAGGCAATATTATTTATTTGAGAAAACAAAACCGCACTCTTCATTCTCTTACACCAGAAGCATCTTAATCTTCCTCTATTTGCCACAGAAAGCTTGCATATTCTCCCAACACAATGCTGCAAAAGGGACACCAAACAAGTTTGCTTTTATATATGAATGTAGCATGAAAAACAAGAGGTATTTACAAATCCTTTAGCTGTAGCATGCTTTTAAATGGAGTTTGGAATTTCAAAATATGAGTGCTATATTTTTATTCTCGAAATATGACTAACATGGCACCGTCATCTTGAAGGCGTAGGCGTGATTGCCAAATAATTGCAGTACAATGAATTTAACATGACAATATTTATTATAAGTAATGATAATATTTCGGGAACAAACCTTATTTACTCCTATTTAGGGTAATTTCTCTTTTTAAAATATACTCCGTATGTAAAATTAATAAAATTAGTATTTTAAAATTTGAACGTTAAGTCATTCATGCCTCTCAATTCTACACAGAATTTCATACATAAGATCTCAGGTTTAGTTTTTAGTCTTTATATGCTATATGACCCAATCACGCTCAAATGGGTAACTTGATTTGAAAAAATTCAAAATGATTTCAAAATTCATATATTTGAAATACACATAAAACATTGGACTATTCGTTTTAGTAATCCTAGAAAACACACGAGACACTAGGAAGTTGCCCTAAACTGCAGTACAAGATGTAAAAATTCAAAATAAGAATACTACGGAGTATGTTTTTTCCTCTAAATAGGAACAATCAGTAATTACTAACACGTTTGAAAAATATTGCCAATTATGTCATCAATGCTACCATGTTAATGTTTCCAAAATATGACAACATGATTTCAGAATGACAATAATTTACTCAAATTTTAAGAAACAAACATGGTGCTCCTTCCTTTTTGGAAAATTCAGTGTTCTCTTATTTTTGGGAAATTTCTCATTGGCTACATCTAACAAATTTACAAAATCGCACTACAAATCTCAGTATTGTGTAGTCCATACCTATCTTCTGGAGATGCTTGAATTGCTCTCTCAAAGTACAATGATGCTTTGTCTTTGTCATGATGGAGTTTCCATATAAAATTTGCATATGCCAAAATCATTGCACCTTCACTTGGTTCAGTAGCTATTGCACTTGAAGAGTACCCATCTTCTCTCAAAGAGTCCTCCTTTGGCTGCATGTCAATATCACACATCCATTTAAATATACATTATACAAGTCTTCCAAGGCTTCATTTGTTTGCATGAAAATGTTTCCCCAAAAAACATTTTCTAATTTTCCAAGAAAGCACACATTTTCTGTGTTTTGTTCTGGAGCTAGAAGGATTGCAACATATTTCTTGATTTTCCGGGGAAAAAATATCCCCCACAAGTTGTTTTTCTTGAAACAAATAAGGTGAGGTCTAATAAGTGTACCGCGGTAGACTGGGACCTTGCACGAACAAAATAATAATAAAAGTAATTTCTAGTTAAACAAGTGGACAGTCAAAAAAAAAACAAGAAACCTCATCATCGCTTCCATCAATCTCCCAAAGAAAACTAGCACATGCCCCAAGAACATAGCTGAAAAGGGAGGATAAAAGATGTCATTTCCAAGTTTAAAAAAGTGCAGTTATATTGAAGAACTTTTCAATAAGGCCAGTTTATCTTCATTCTGATTTAAAAGAAATATAAAGTGATAACTATTTTAGGACAAAATGGTTAAAAGTGACAGATAACTATTTAACACATATATCAACTTATGTTCTTAAGCAAACAAAATCCTGAAATTGAATATGTAGAGTACAAACTATGGAATCAAGTTCTGATCATCTATTGCCAAAACAACAGAGTAATGGAAAAATAATTAATTACCTATCATTGGAAGCAGCAAGAAGTGCACGCTTAAAATACCAATGGGCTCTATCTTTGTCATGATAGAGCTCCCAAACCAACTGAGCGTAATGTGCTAAGGTATCCCCATCCTTAGGATCAGCTAAGGTAGCAAGAAAGTATTGTTCCTCTGCTTCTGACATATTTCCCTTTGACTGTACCCGAGCAAAAAAATATTTCACTCTAAAATAAAAAATGTATCATCCAAACAGAACTTACTCGAAAATTTGAAGTCATATAAACAATTAGGGTATGTTTGGCTCAAGAAATGTCAGATTACCATGGGAATGTTAGATTACTGGGTATGTTAGATAGATGAAAATGTGATTAATGTACAACCAATTTGTGTTTGGTTACGATTAAGGGAATGTCACATTAAGTTGTTTGGTTAAATGATAGGGAAAACTGTCAAATAGATCCTCGAACTTTCATAAAAAGGTCAATTAAGTCCTTCTATAGGAGGTTCTGTCCGGCTGTCGCGATTTGGGGCAGTTCCCGGTGGAATTTTTTGATGAAATTGTTTGAGCATCTTATTCACCAAGTCGAGTTTACTCTAACCAAATTTCAGCTAAAAATTCAACCGGGAACACATTCAAATTAATTCTTGAAGATAACTGCGCATTTTTGCATTCTCGAATTAATTTGAATGTGCTCCCGATTAAACTTTTAGATGAAATTTGGTATGAGTAAACTACACTTGATGAATAAGATGCTCAAAAAGTTTCATCAAAAAATTCCACCGGGAACCGCTCCAAATCGCGACGGCCGGAAAGAGCCTCCTATATAAGGACTTATTTGATCTTTTTTTGAAAGTTCGAGGACCCATTTGACAGTTTTCCCTAAATGATATCTTATATTGAATATTTGGTGAATTACTTGAATGTCCTTTAAATATTTGTCTCTTAACATATTAAACTTATTACAACCTAGAATTAAAGTAATTAAAACTATAGAAAAATAAAACATCTTAGTAATAATTAAAATAAAAACTAATTAAATTAATTCTAAGCAAAGTATATTTAATTGCACAAATTACTAAGATTAGTGAACATTAGTAAATAATTTTAAGCAAAATATGTTTAATTACACAAATGACAAAGATTAGTGAACATCAATAGCAAAAATACTTGTATCATATTAGTGTCTTAATTCACTTTTCCTTTTTCCTATGTTACCTGTTCTTTTTTTTTTTCAAAGGAAAAAATATGACATCTTTGCCTAGCTTCCTATAGCTCACAATCTTCCCACCCTCTACAGATTTGTCTACACGGAATTAATCACCCTATCTTCATACATGTATCTAATTCACAATTTTCTCACCCTCAACGGAATCTTCCTATAGTTCACAATCTTCACAATCTGTGCTCCTTTAATCACCCAATTCACACGGAATTAGTCTAGGCGCATCAGAATTAGTTTAAGGCTCCTTTACTAAGAAAAGAATAGCACAACAATTAGTTTAAGAGTTAAAATCTTGCTGCGTTCACCGGAAGAAGAAAGTTGCGCTTGATGTTCGACTGAAGAAGAGAGAGTTGCGGTAATATGATATGTCGATTAATGAAGCATGGGTTTTTTTGGAAGAAAATTAATAAGCCACCAGGAATTCTACAAAACCTAAGGCATTAGTGGATTTGACATGCCTGGTCATGTGATCACCTTTTCCACTTTTGGGAATGTAACATTCTCCAAAAAAAAAAAAAATCAAACCCGCGAACCAAACACAGGTATCTCACATTCCAGGCATGATGTTACGCAATGTATAAGATATTACCTTGAACCAACCCCACTGCCTTATCTTAGTGTTTCATACTAACAGGTCAACCCGATAGGAGTAGTACCAGCACATAAAACCTAAGCATGATCGCTAACACAAACTACCAAGTAAAAATAAAACTTTGAGGTAGTAGTCTAACACCTTTAAGATCTTTTGTCCGTTAGGAGAGAAGAAACACTAACATTTCTATAAAATAAACCCGTGCGTGTGTGGTGAGAGTTATTTCATTATTTGACTGAAATCGAAATGGCTGAACCCAACGAGTTTTCAAAAAGGAAGAACGAATGATAACATTCATTTCATCTTAGCAAGTCAAAAGGTACTTATTTCTCATTATTCTGCGAGAATTAGCTACCAATCTGGATCTAACTCGGTCATAATAGTAATTTGGTTGAATAATATTATGAATAACATTCATAATAGTTATTCCTCAAATTCACATCTTTTTAAGAAGACCAGAAATTTAATAATTTATGGCGAGGTCTACTTCTTTAGAAGTTGATAGTAAAGCAATAACTTACTCCTCTTAAAAGGGTTCTAAAAATACTCTGTTAACCCAAGTGTTGCAGCCACATAAATTAAGGCCCGTTTGGATCTAGTTTCAATACAACAACAACATTACCCCAATGTCACAAAGGCTCCCACCTCAGGTGGTAAGGGGATGTAGGCATCCCCACCCCTCTACATCCAAAAGTGTTAGTTGAATAATTACTATGTTAACTCAAGTGGAACATTAAAGATTGTGTCACGCTAGGTTGAACATAATAAAACCTCCAGTTCATTAATTAATAAAACTATAAAAGGCTAAATATATAAGAAGAATCCAGAGTTAAAACTGGAAGAATATAGATTCACCTGGAAACAAATGGATCATACGAAGGAAATAATAGAAAAATAATCAATTAATGTGACTGAGAGAAGGGAATGACCTGCAAAAGTTGAGCATATTTCCTGAGAAACAAAGGGTTGGAAGGATTCTCTTTGAGCTTCATCTTATAGTATTTCTCAATCTCTTCTTCATCCCCATCCCCAGCAAAACTCATATCTTTAAACTTTTCTTCTACACTTTCTTCTTGTTCACTCTCCCCTTCTCCATCAATTTCATCAATCTTCCTAAAACTGAACTCTCCACTGCTCATAACCTCTTTCGCGATCAATTCTTCATTCTTAGATTCTCCAGGCAGCGCTTCGTCTGTATTGTAAATCTCAAATGACGCTTCAGTACGCAACATGTTTCTCTTGGGGGATCTTGCCAACAACACTGCTGGGGGTTTGGATTCGATATTCAATTCAGAAAGCCCGAAGTTTTGGGAAAGATCTGGGCTTGCTGGTGAAAGATTGAGCTTTTGGTAATGATTGATAAGCGTCCAATATCTCAGAGCGCGCCTTTCAATGCAAAAAGGTTTGAGGGAAGCACAAATTGCAATAGAAAAGTTTACACATTCTTATACACTTCTACATGTTTTGTTTGTCACAAACAAAAAAAATACACAGACAAAAAAAATACACAGACAAAATACATGGTTCTTGTTTACAGACAAAAAAAATGACCTGTCACAGACAAGTGTCTAAGAACGTGTACAAATAGAATTTCTCATTGCAGTAACACCATTTGGGGTCAGAGTGAGGGTGCTAACGACAATTACTCAAATTGTTAATCGAACTTAACCCAAAAACTGTGGATTGTATCCAACTATCCGGTTTCTATTTTTATTTTGACGGTGCCAATTTTTTTTATTTGACTCTGATTGGTGTGCACAATACTCGCTTAAAATTTTGTCAAATTTGATCAACATAAGAATTTATAAAGCAAAAATTATGTATGTGAGATTGCACAAGAGAAAGATGAACTGGAACCGCAATTTCTTTAGTGAAGAGGGATAATGATAAAGCTAATGAGACATTCAAAAATAGAAAGTTGACAAAGTTATAAAGGACAAATGAAGTACTCCGTATATAATAGGAGAAAGTTCAAATAAAAATGAGTTTTAATGCGCAAAATAAGAATTAGGGAGAACTATCAAAAAGCCCCCGAACTTGCATAAAAAGTGCAAATCACCCCTTATATTGGAGGCATTGTCCGACCGTCGTCTTTTGGGGCGGTTCCCGGTGGAATATTTTGATGGAAAATTTTGAGCATCTTATTCATTAAGTTTAGTTTACTCATACCAAATTTTAGCTAAAAATTCAACCAGGAAGGCAGTCAAATGATTTTTTTGAAATATTCTGCGTTGTGTAACTGCGCAGTTATTTTGAGTTTTTTTCCGTATTAATGTTAATTAATTAATTATTTACGGAAATAATGCTGGAAAAAAAGTATTTACCAAAATACTGCTGGGCCTTAACCGTGGTCAGGGCAAAGTCGCCCAACCGTTGGGCGACTTATAAGTCGCCAAACGGTTTGGCGACTTATAAGTCGCCCAACGGTTGGGCGACTTTGCCCTGAAATATGGTTTCAAGCGAGCAGCTACTGCCAGCCACGCACGATCGTGCCTATTTCCTTAGGCACGGTCGTGCCTATTACCTAAAACACCAAATCAGCTTGTTTTTCACCCCGGTTCAATCCAGACCGATCTGTTTGCTACAAATAAGGTCTCCTTTCTCCTTTTGAAGTGTTACAAACTAGATACAACACATGATAATCACCTACTCTCAACAACAAAAAAAACACCTTATAAACACCGCTAAAAAACTTTCAAATCATAACCGGTATAACACAGTTCAATCATCATATATGCCATAACAAATAATCATGTAATATTCATACTCGAACACATCAATACAACATAGAATACTTAACAAGAGAAAATACATCAAAACTTGTAAATTGTTCCTACAACATCTATTGCATAAGAAAAACTACAATACAAAAGACAAACTACAAGTTCCCATCATCAGCTTCGTCATGGAGATGTTGCTGCTCATGTCTACGCCTACGGCGTTGTCGTGGTTGAAGAACCACTCTCTCATGTTGCGTCTGGGATGATGAAGCCGCGGCTGCACTAGACGTGGATGCCATCTCCTGAGATGCGGGCATGTGTATAAGATGTCCGTAGTCTACTCGACCCAACACATCTGAGCATAACGAGGCAATGCCTGTCAGAGTCTGTCCATACATGTCCACATCAGGAATATCAGTCACAGTGGCAGTAGCCCGCTGATGTATGCGCTGCAAAGCTCGGGTCTACAATACGAAACACAATTACAATTACATTCAAATACATACAAGTATTACATAAATAAAATGACTTACTTTACTAATTAGTAATATACTCACCGTAAGATGCAATGCCAATGAGCTAGGCTGATAATGATGAGTAGGGAGTCTGAACGAAGGAGACACAAACAACCGAGTGATGCTGTAGTACCATCCCATGTAATCTCCTGAAACTGATGGCACATATGTGGGTGTCCCAGCCACGGCTAGCTCAGCTCTCCTATCCCACATAGTCACATATCGGACATGTCTGAGTGCCCAATCCTCTGTATGCTTCCCACGCCTATCCAGCTTATGCAGCTCTACATAAGTGTCGATAGGACGTGGAATGACCTGCTCAAACCCAAACTGTCGCATGACTCTATCAGGCAAATGAAGCTCAACAATGTCAAAACATATCAGCGGCACACGTGCTCGCCATATGTGAGTCTGCTCTAGTCCAGCTGGGGGCAACTCTGCTAACATATCAGGTCTATACGGCATCCATGTGATCTGTTTCGTAAACATACAAAATTAGTATTTATTCTACACCTATTCTAGTTACTGTTATACTACACACACCATACCTGGTCCTCTGACATCCGATCCAATGCATCCCTGTACACACCGAGGCCAGTAGCGGATGACATGCGAGATAAACCAGCATATAGCCACCTAACCATTAATGTTACAATATCAATAATATGGATTTTATTAATGCATTTACATTCAACAAAAACTAACACAAATACAAACGATTGAAAACATACCGACGGCCTAGAGGGTCCACGCCCCGTACATGATGTGGTCCTAGCAGACGTGGAGGCTCATCAGGCAGTGGCTGTCCATCAATGCCATGATATCCAACTATAATGGGACGGCCAATGTGGATATACTCCCATGACCAAATCTGGAGGAGTAGCAAAAATCCCCCCAACTCTGTGCTCCCTCTCTGGCACCCGCGACACAAACCTCTCCATCAAACCTCTCCAGCAAAGGCAGGTGTAGCACCTGAACCTCATTTCCGCTCTTGTCAGCGAAAATGGAGGCTCCCATCATCATCAATATATACGCCCGAGCATGCTGCTGGATGATCATCTCATCAGCGTCGGGAGGAAGGGCCTGGAAGTGCTCCCTCAACCATGGCATCCTAAGAGATGACCCCTGAAGGTCAGCCCTAAGAACGGGGCGGATGCCTAACAACCTCTCACACTCATCCACCCACTGTCGACAAGCAGTGCCTGTAACAGCTCTCCCATCAACCTCTAACCCAGTCAGTACAGCCACATCTCCCAATGTCACAGTGACCTCACCAACAGGGAGGTGAAATGAATGTGTCTCCTGCCTCCAACGCTCAAGTAGAGCAGTGAGGAGGGCTCTATCTAAAGGCACAGTAACCACTAACCTGTGCAGTGTAAAAAAACCTGCTGCACGAACATATGCTAGGACTCTGGGGTCGATATGTAAATGGGACAAACCCCGCAGATGCTCGCGGCACCTATCAACCTGCACATCCATGCCAAGCCAAACATCCTCACTCCTGTGTGAGGCCTGCAGTGTCAGGACAGAAGGATCACTCGGCCCAGGATCCGCTATCACCTCCATGCCTACAAACAAAATTTGTATTAGTTCTAATTGTATTAGTTGTAATTGTATAATGTATTACATTTTTTTTAACTTCCTTTTTTGAATTTATTAATTTTCCTTGCAAGGAACTAATGAATTATGATTGACTCTAAATATACACATACCCGGCGGACCCCCCCTCTTGTCTAGATGATCTCTTTGCACATGTCGCTCTATTATGGCCGGTTTGGTGGCATCTTCCACATCTAACCGTTCCTCGTGGGCCTTCATCCATCTCATTCTTAATACGGGTCGACTTTGGTCTTCCCTTTGCCCGAAGCATGGATGGATCGTGCACGATTTCGGGTCCATTGTAATTTGGCCAATAATCACGATCAGGAATCGGTTTGAACACCCTATGATACGTGGCGGCGTATTGGTCAGAAGAGAAGAACTTATCCACAAATGGAGCATAAGACAAACTACGTTGTCTACACACGGCTAATACATGGGAGCAAGGAATCTTGTATATCTCCATCTTTTTGCAAGTGCACGTTTTCCATTGTAGATGGACAGTTTGTTTTCTCCCACCCTTTCCCAACGTTCTGCCACCACAACCGGTCTCCACCTGAAATATACCTCGCCCTAAATCAAGAGTGACAATGTGATGCTTTGACGACTTCCCTGCATTCACCCCTGCAATGACATCATGCCTAGATACACCAGCATTTGATGTCGATTGAGTAGCATTAGCGTCAAAGCATTCCTCAATGTATACCTCCAGCGACGACATATCCTCCATCTGAATTATGCCCCACATATTTGTTATAGCTAGCTCATCAATGAGCGGCATAAGCATGTACTTTCCCCCGTTCATGGGAAATTTCATTTTCAACCGCAATGAACGGCCGAGATGAATCATTGTCGCTGCATGTATTTTTTGAAGGATCTCGACCATGCAAGCGCCACGAGAAACCATGACAAAGCTCGTTCTGCCACCTTCATGGCATATTTGCCCACCATTCTCATAATAGTTCCCTCCCCAATGACACACGAGTGGGAAGCTTGAGAAATCCATCTTCTAATAACAATTCATTGTCCAACATTCATGAGTAGGCATCAATATACACACTTTATACACATTCACATTTTTAATAGAAATTGCTTCCAAAATTGTAATATATCATTAACTCCAAATTCACAAACAATTCACATTTCAATAACAAACTACCCAAATTTTGATATCTACATTCAATGTCTACCTTTGAATACCCAAATTTAGGTACATTCAACTATACCCAAATGCCCAAATGTCAAAATACACATTACAATTTACAAACAATTTAAAATCATATTTCAACATTTCATACATATTCACATTTCACAACAACTTCATTCACAATCAATTCATAATCCCAAAATTAAAAAAAAATTAACATTCTAAACCCTAAGTGCAAAATTATATGAAATGGATTTGGATTTACCTAGAATAAGGAGTAAAGAGTGTTGAAGATGAATATGGAGGGTTGCCGGAGTGGAGTCGCCGGAGATGGAGGAGCGCCGGAGTTGGAGATGGCGGTTCGTCCGTCTTCTTCTTCGTCCGTCGCAGCAGCAGTTGGGGGAGGCTTCTGTGAAGTGTTCTGTTTGGGGCGAGACCCGATTTTTACTTAAGGGAAAGTCGCCCAACGGTTGGGCGACTTATAAGTCGCCAAACCATTTGGCGACTTATAAGTCGCCCAACCGTTGGGCGACTTACCCCCGACCATGGTTAACCCAGCAGTATTTTGGTAAATACTTTTAACCCAACCCTATTTTCGTAATTAATTAATTAATTAACATTAATACGGAAAAAAACTCAGTTATTTTCAAAAATTCATTTGACTGCCTCATCGATTGAATTTTTAGCTGACATTTAGTATGAGTAAACTAGACTTAATGAACAATATTCTCAAAAAAAGTTCATCAAAAAATTCCACCGGAAACCACCCCAAATAGCGACGGCCGGACAGAGTGTCAATTTGATACCCAATAATCCTTATCTAATGTACTTTTCGAATAAATCTTATATGATACACTTTTTCAAACATTTACATGCAATGACATTTTTGTAATTATTGAAAAAGTTCATTATATAAGGTTTATTATGTACCAAATTAACTATTTGGACAAATGATATTAATTCTTACGTCACACGTTAAACCCAAAGTTTATATGTCCTATGTAAATGGATCTTTTGCTTATTATGAGTCATGTGGAAGAGAAGTGTTGAGATGTGGGTCTACTGTAAAATTCTAATTTCTATTATACTCCATATTATAAAGACGATCTTCTTGAAAAATGTGATGTTGACCATACCAATAAAATAATACTCTGTAACTAATAAGAGTTGAGGCACTGAGGGCATAACAATAACTATCCCGTATTCCATACATTATATTTATTTGGCAACATTCTAATTTCTCGAAAAATGAATGATATCTCATCCTTGAGGACCCCCAACATCGATCGGACAGTTCATTAGACCCGGTTGATATTTACAGGGCCGTGCCTTGTTAGAGGCCAGTGAGGCAAAGGCCTCAGGGCCCCAAAAATATTGAAAATTTAAGGGCCCATAATTCAAAATATCTTCCTATTATTTACATGTATTTAAATTATAAAAGATGTGTCTTGCTTTAAATTCTATGTGTTGTGCTTCAAAACTAAAATAGCCGATCAAGTACCAACAAAGTGAAGCGGAACGACTGAACATAAGTTTTGACTTTTGAAATTGTAAAGATAGAAAGGTTATGACCCTAATTTGAAAATCCAGTTTGTGTTTAATTTGGCATATTTAAAAGAATTGAGATGCACAGTTAAACAATTTCAGTTTTTTTACATTTAAAATTTAAATTTTAAGTAGGTTATGCACTTCTATTTACTAACATGCCAGTATGTATTATTTAGCACATTTGTTTAACTAATAATCTGTATTAGTTTCAACGTTTGTTTGACATTTTGTGAATTAGTTATGTTATCAATTGACAAGTAATTTATTGAGCACTTTGATTAATTTATATTTTTGCGACTAATATTGTTTGAGGTGTTATACTTAATTAGTTATTTTAAATACATTTGGTAATGTTATATTGTACGTAGTATTATGTAAAAAAATTATTTTATTAATTACTTTTTGATGTTTTATCTTTAACTTCAAAACAAATTATACTACATATTTACATAAAATTGTACGGAGTAATTTATAGTCTTTCAAAAAAATTGCACTCCCTCCGTTCCGAAAAGGTTGGTCAAAGTTGACTTTCACGTGGATTAATAAAGTAAAAAATGTGTGGTTGAAATTTGTGCAGAGGAGAGAGAATTAATGTTAGCCACATATTTCTTACTCCCTCCGGTTCTTAATTAAGTTCCTGGTTTGACTTCACACATATCAAGAAAATAAATTTGACTTTACTGTGGAGTGCAATGTTTGAACACTGTTTGGTACTGTTTGAACACTGTTTGACACTGTTTTGGTGTAAATCATTTGCCAAATAAGGAAAGATTTGATGTAGGAACTTTAATATGGACCATCCCAAAAAGGAAAGTAGGAACATAATTACGGGACGGAGGGAGTACTCTAAATGAAAATGACAAATCTTTTTGGGACATCAAAAAAAGAAAATTTGGCCAACCTTTTTGGGACGAAGGGAGTAATATATAGGAACCTTTTTAGGTATCTTGACTCGGGCCCAAACTTGGGTAGGATCGGCACTGGATATTTAATTGTTCAATTTGGATCCAAAACCAAACTGCAATTGTGCATATTAGAAAAAAACTTCTTAAGACCACATGTTTTAGTTTGACGATTCACTATTTGGACGGGTTGAAAACCGAAATTGGATTAAAACCCAGGCTAGTCTTCATTAGGGAGTAGAACTCATCAATTTTCGAAAAATAGGATCAAGTAATTTAAACTTCCATAAATAGAGTTTTCTATCTGTGATTTCAAAAATACCTCTATAGGGTTGGAGCTGTTGCTCCCAGGTCATCGGACCGCCGCCTACCACCGGATTGTCAGCTACCGGATTTTTTATATCCCATAATCGCTTTGACGATCTGCTAGATTTGCATATCCGTCCACCGCCATTGTCGGAGTCTTATGCAATGGATCCATTTAGAGGAGACCATTAATTAGATTAATTAAATAAATAAATAAATTAAGGATAGATAAAAAATAATTAGTTCTGTTTAAGAAAAACAAAACTGTCATACTTTTGAATGAATGGGCTAGTTGTATTTCAGTCTTAAGACCATTTGAAGTGGTGCAAGATTACGAGTCAAACGGTTAAAGATGGAGATTTCGACTCCTAATTTCGTGTAGTGGAGGATTAAAAGGAGAATTAAAAGTGAGAAAGAGGATGCATGTAAAAATAGAGGGTGAATTAATAGGGGAAAAGAAAAGATAAAAGAAAAAGCGTTGGGCTCCTGCGTGTTGCTCATGCTTTCTGCTGACATCATGATGACGTCACACAAACGTCATTAAAATAACAATTTGTTTAAAATTCTTATAACTATTTATTTGTTCTCCAAACTTTTCAAAAAATATATCAAAATTCAAGAATTTTTATGATATTTCATATGACACCAATATGTAACATATAAAATGAAATAAAATGAAGTTGTAACTGTCGAAGTTTTCTTGAGCCCCAAAAAGCACGAAACGCAAATTTGTAATTCATGAAGCCTTCACAAATAATTTAATATTTCATAATCAAACTTTACTTGAACTATGTTCATTTTTTGTTATCCGAAAAACATAAAAAACTAATGAAATTTATTTATTTTTACATCGAAATGTGTATTTTTTATTTCATAATTATTCAGGGAAAAAATTAAAAGGAAAACAGTACATATAATAATTTAATTAATGTGTTAATAAATTGACTCCAAACACCGTTTTCAAATGGAAGGAGTCCATTTTTAACATTTCGGCCTTCCGACCGCTACAACTGGTCTAACAAGAGCATTTTTCTTAAGACGGGTTGAGATTTGAGAATGATTATTTCGATACTTTGGGTAAGAGCATCCACTATGGTGGGTTAAGTTGGATCAAAAATAAAAAATGATGGGCGTTGACCCCACTATGGAAGCTCAACATTTGATCGATCAAGTTGTTAGCTCAAAAATGGAATCTGACACTTTCGTTTTTAATCTAGCCAAGTGACTCCTTTTGTCCTTGAAAGGGAGTACGGGTGGAGCAAATGCAAGAGGGGAGGAATTCTCCTCCCAAATTTCTAGCCACAAACCAAATCAACTCTTTAATTTAATATTTTATGCATTAAATTATTTTATTTTACAAAAAAGTTACACCAAAAAATCAGATTTTTTTCCTTCTATAAATAGACACCAATGAAGGATATGTTTAGTCACTTCGAAATTTACCACTTCTTTCCCTCTTGCATCTCATTTTATCTGTTTTAGAATATTTTTCTCCCAGAAAATGGATCCAAACCGTTCTCCCCTTAGATACTACACCAACAACGCCCTAAATGTGCATTCCTTTTTCAAATTAAATAAATTAATAAAGGTGAGATAAATAAAAAAATAAGGAGATAGTGTAAAAATTTTAAGTGACTTAGATCACCATAGTGGGGAGAAAATGTGATAGATTAGATGTAAGTAATAAATCAAATTATATGTACTAATTGATATATTCATTATGTGTGAAATTGTTTATTTCTGTACTGTATCACTATGTGAATATTTGTAGGATCAGACATCTTGTAAGCTTGCCATCGAGAAGCAGACACCAGTTGGACAAAAAGATGTAGAATTTGTGGCGATTGCAATGGCTTATAATACCGCGCCGGGAGCCATGATTCATAATATTCCGGTGTCTACGAATACCATCAAAGTGAATATTTCTATCGTGTATTCAGGTTATGAGCAATGTCCTCTCTTTTTTCAAAACCCCAATGCTGATATGTTTGTTGTGGCGGATGCTGTTGGATCATGTAGAATGACCGAGTCAATTGGTTTTCTTTGAAGGAGAGGTAATGAAATAATAATGATAATGATGTATTTACAATTTCACAATGAAATACAAGTATTCTACTGTTTTTTGGTGATCTTTTATTTATATTTTTAGGAGAAACAAAAAAAGTCAAACAACAAAGATGCAGTTAATAAGGAGAAGCCCTTTGTAGTGAGAGAGATTCCACGATCTATGGTTCCTCCTAGCACATATCTGTTGGTAAGTGAGATTGCTTTGCAATCACTTTATGAAGATTTGCAGCAGTTACATGGGATGCTAGAGTGGTATGAACCCGTACTTTGTAAGTTTTATATTCCTTTACCCATTGAGTTGTTCCACTACCCCCAAGAAGAAAAGAAATTCAGGATCACTATTCATCGTGAGGATCTGATTGAATTTCTCAAGGGTGATTCTCTGGGTATTAACATTGTTCAGAGTTTTTTAATGTAAGTATTTAATACGTAAAAATATTAAAAAAAATATTACATATAAAAAATAAACTTAACGAAGACATTATATAGTGTTATTTTGTTGAATACAGTTGTATCAAGAATAAACTGGATGAACTTGGTTGTGATGATGTTGCATTTTTATGCCCATCAATGCGCGCTCATAAAGCTTATCAAATTGACAAGAAGGGTACAATGACAAATTTCAAACATGCCTT